GAACAAACTAATGTATTAGAAAAACTATACTGCAAATTTTTAAATCTTAAGTGAAAAATGTTAATGTTGAAGAACAAGCGCATCTTGATTCTAAAGTTCCAAAGTTTTAAAACTATTAATAGTACCCAATTATTATAATAATATTAATATTCACAATGAATCTAAGTTTCAAATGGACAGCAACTGCCTGTTGTAGAAACCTACAAATGTAAAGGACGACATTTCGAAAGTCTTCTGCCTTTCGTCTTCAGGTTTAAGACGGAAGACTTTCGAAACGTTGTCCTCTACATTTGTAGGTTTCTACAACAGGTAGTTGCTGTCCATTTGAAACTTAGATTTATTATGGATACTCTGCCTAAACAACCTATCAAAGATTAATATTCACGTTTATATTCCAAACTTTTCCATTCCACCATTCTGTCTAAAATCCTAACAGTAACACTTCAGTCTTGAATAGCAAAATCAAGTCCGCCTGAGCCGAATCATTTGGCTAAAAGTAATTTATACTATAGTGTAAATCTTCTGTTTCAGTGAGACCAGTCCAACACACTAAGGCTTAATTTAAGCTAAGAGTAAGACTTTAGTTTAAGAACACTCTCTGGTCTGTCGCTTTTCTCAATGCGACATTAATTTCATAAAATGTTAAAGGACTTAAATTCCTAATATCATTGTTGTATATAGATGTATAATATTATCCCGACTTACTTGTTGACGAAAGCCTTAAAGGAGTTGCTCCATACGGTCTCACTCGCCTATTTATTTCAAAAACAAGTGTATTATCTTCCAAGTACTCACGCAATTGTTCCACATCACCGCGAAAAGCAGCACGATGAAGTCTCGTATCCCCGTCTTCGGGATCAACAGTGAATTCTGTAAGATCAGACATTGCTATGTTCTGCGATTATATTTAAAGTCCTCAAGATAAATATCTGCCACAACATTTTCTCAAATTCATTACTTATATTTTCTAACAAAAACTAACATATAGCTCCAACATTCGCCTCACCCACATTAAAGAGCTGTACGCCCTCTAGTTTAAACAAAAGTATAAAGAATTATTTAAAAGTTAGAGGTACAAACCAACAAATGTATAGCTCATCCAGATCACAATTGAGCACCTTGAAATCTCTCCCTTCCAGATATGAATATGTTTCGCATAAACTTAAGAATTATCACAAATTTTTTCAACATATTATATGTATCTTTTAAAGTTCTCTGTTCATTTTTTCGTCTTCTTAAGTACTTAACAATAAACATGCCTTCCGTAATCAGACAATATAAACCAGATTCAGTAAAAGATAGGAAAAACTATTATTTTCAAAACAAAACTTACAGTTAAGAAAAAATCTAACTTGTGGATTGTTATATTCTTATAATTACCAATGACTGAAAATACAAGAACAGCTATCAAACTGACCAATAAAAATTCTAGGGTCAAGTTTGTAATTACAAATCAATTTAAAAAAGATTGGTAGAATACAAGGTTAGTAAAACTTTCTAAAGGTATGATTACAACTGAGTTCTTTTGTCTGTTTGTTGGATTTTGCTCAAAGCTACATGATACTGTAAATCGGCTGTAGTGTCATAAGCAGATATAGAGTGATAACATGATATCATACATTCTTCTTTACTTTCATTCAGAAGTTATTAATAATTACTAATATAGTTTTCTGCAGTTGGTGCTGTAGTCAGCTTCACCCACACCGGGATCAAAAAACACTAGCTTGCTTGTTCGCCAGTTCTTCCAAATATTGAGTAAGTTAATTCAATAAAATAACAATTGATAATATATGGTGTTCAAATAAATATATAATATCGTGTTGAATATTCGTTACCATATTCTGTTGTGTTATTACTTTAAATACAAAACATTTATGAAAAATTACACATTACCGGTCTAATCCATTTCATACCATAATACTTACTGCCAAGCAATTTACTAATATAAATAACGTCTCAATCACTGCTATGTCTACCGAATCCTAGTCTGCCTGAAAAGCCATGGTATTATACTAAAGGCCTCATAGGAACTGGTTATAACTGATATAGTGTTTTTGACATATTGTTATACAATTTTTTTTTTACTTTAACTCAAAAGATTTATTAATAATTTCTTGGTTTCTGTAAAGGAAAGTTTAATAATGCCGTTAGTTCAACTATGAGGACGATCATTGTTAAGTTAAACTGAGACTT